TGATAATGGGCCTGTTGGGCCTCAATTTAAAACGGGCCTTCGCTCTTTGTTCATCATTACCTCAATATCGTTATCTCTCGTCCGAACATAATGCTTGGTTAAATGCTAGATACGTGCATTTGCAAAAATATGGAAAATTTCTTATTAAGTACTATGCAATTTTCTGTTGATTAATCATTTTGTTACTTTGCACTACATGCTTAGTGAGATAATTTTACGGTATTCTGTGCAAAACATCCTAAATTTTAGGGGTTTCTATGTCTTTGGCATTGTAGCTAATATTCGTAAACTTTGTTCTCAGATGAATATAAATATTCCAAATCGCAAAACTTTCTTTGCAAATTAAGAATTACAGAAAATATAGAGATTAAGTCTTCTACGTCGGAAGTTTCCTTAAGCACTTTTCTATTATTACTTAACGACGCCTAACGCGATAATTAGTAACCATGGAGTCAAGGGAGCGCCTATTCAAACCATTTTTGCAAATAACAAATCACAACAATTTTTTAAGAAAAAATCAAAAGAAAAATCTGAAAACAGAAGTGACTCCACATCATATATTTTGGTCCAGTCCCAAATCAGACACAAGAAACATATAGACCAAAAAAATAAATAACTAAACAACTGAAAACATGAAAAGAATACTCATACAAATCATTAATCAGACCAACTACCCTCCAAATCTAACTACCTAAAACAACAAAAATTAACACCAACAAATAGTAAATAACAACAAATACTCCATCAAACAAACATCGAAACAACTAAACCAAACCATACTCCTAAGAAAACCCTAACATAAGAACCGAAAGAAGCAACCTTAAACCCACCACTAGACCAAGATTCACCCGAAGGGCCCGAACCCGAATTCCAATCCGGACCAGAGCCTGAACCCGAAGGCAGAGGAGACGGCGCATAGCCCGGACCCAAATTAACGAACGGGTGCACCATGACCCGAACGATCAACCTCTGCCCCGACCTGCAATGGTCCGGTTCGCCACTTATGAAGTAGAAGTAGCCATAATGGTCGAACCAAAACGTCGAGTTTCCATCGGTGAAGGCTAAGAGCGGGTTGCTTGTGTCGCACGCGACGTAACCTTCTCTGTCAACGACGAGCACGGAGTCGTTCGCGTACTTGAAATCTGAAGTAAATTAAAAGAGAGAAAAAAAAATGGTAACATTTTTTTTTTACCGAAACAATATATATAGAAGTTAAATAAGAAAAATCCGGCAACAGATCGAGAAACGAAATCTTACGCAACGAGTCGCCAATATGAAAACGGTTTCTCCCAGCCCAGTGGTTGTAAGTCTCAGATTCCTTTCCGGTGGGCTTCACCCATCCCTCCGGTCCTCCCACACGAAACTCAAACGCCGATGCGACGGAGAGCATTGAGGAAAAAGTAAATAAAATTAGGAAAAGCAAAACCTTGGCCATTGTTGGAAGCGGCTAATAAGAAACAGAGGGTGTGATTAAATTTAGAA